TAAACGGTGCAATCTGTGTTGTGAAATACCTGTTGTGCACTCTATGTGGTGCAATAGGTTGCGTGGTCTATGTGATATAATATACGTGGTGCACTCTATATGGTGCAATATACAATGTGCAAATCATGTGGTGCAACCTATGCGGTGCAATATGTGTTGTGCAAGCTATGTGGTGCAACATATGTGGTGAACTCTATGCGGTGCAATCTTTGTGGTGCAATATATGTGGTGCAATTTACTACCCTGTACCGCGCTTGAGCACATCCACTGCTCGCGCAATCATCCCACCTACCCACCCGCAACTTGGTTTTCAAAACCGATGCGGTGGCGATTGCGATGAATGCTTGACGTTGGCTGGTCCATTTTTGCGGCCGTCCTCGCGTCGGTGATGAAGTGTTTGGAAAGGGTTCGACGTGCGACCGCGGCCGACGCGCGAGAGTGGCCAGCGCGGTATTCTTTGACACGGGTTGTGTCCCCCTCCAGCGCGTGCAAGGGCGTGCGAATGATGTCGGCATGCGGCACCAGCGGCCCGTTTGGCAGAATTCCATGCGTGCATTTTTGAACATTGATGTTGCGAAACCTGGTGTTTTTGTATGTGTTTTGGGCACTCGAATCTGACATTGCTACGAAACCGAAGGTCTTTGGCTGATTTCGGTATGCGCTCGCGACGACGCGCGCGTGTGCACTTCGTCCTACTTGTTGCAAAGGGTTCTCGCGACGGCACGCGCGCAAGGGCGTGCAAACCATTCCAACATGCGCGCGCGCGAAGCCCGTCTGGTAGCATGTTATGAACATGTTGAATCCCTTACGGGTTTCTGAAGAAGACGCAACAGCGCGCGCAAGTTTTGTTTGAATATCCTTGTTGCGAAACCTTTTTTTTGTCATATGTTTTTTTGACACTCGATATTGGAACCCTTAAAACACCGTCAGTTTTCGGAAGGATTTTGGCACGTGCGCGCGACGACGCGCAAGACGCGCGCCTGTGCACTTCGTTCCATTTTTTGCAAGGGGTTCTGGGAAACTTAGGACTTTTGATGAACGAGTGCGCGCGCATAGTTTTTTTTGCAGAGGATGGCGGGGGGTGTCGAACTGGTTGGGCTGGGATGGTATGAGTTCAAATTTCGGATGGACGATTGGGCAGACTCATATGTAAGTTGCAATACAACAACGGGGGCCGATAAAGCGGGGGGTAGAGTCTAAGCCACGTACGGTCGCCGCCAGAGCGGCACACCGGCCCAGACGACGGGCGACGACGAGGCGGCGACGGGGCGGCGACGGGGCGGTGACGGCGGTGACAGCCGCCAGAGCGGCACATTAGCCCAGTTCGTTAGATAGCAATTATGACCCCCTAGGCGCAATCACTGTTAGGTGAACAATGAGTACTACGTTCCTCTCTCCCCTGATTCTGTCTGGAAGATATTCGGCACTCTCTGCGTATCGTTTTCGCATCTTTCTTTGGTTTTGTTTTGCCAATCCGCTTGTTTTCGATATTTCAAAACGATGATAACGCTGCAGGGTGGGCTTCATTTTCGCATAGAATAGTGCTCTGGCCCCAGCGTGGGCCACGTTTTCTGGATCCCAGTCCGTCTTCATCGTTGTCGCCCCCATCATTTCCACTCTTCCGCCTTCCGCTGGTCCTTCTGCTCTTCCCGCTCCTTCCACTCCAGCTCCGGCTGCTGTTCGTCCTCGTCCTCATCCATATTTTTCTTCCTCCTCCTCCTTCTCCTGCTCATCCGCCACCTCCTCCTCCAATGTACGCAGCTCCTCGTTTTCCGACTGCGCATAGTACGAGGGGGTCCTTTTTGGGAATTCCTGGTCAGCGATGACTCCTCCGTCGGCGGGGAGAGAAAATAGCAGCGCAATGGGGAAGCGATGGGAGGGAGGTGTATAATGTCAGATGATATGGCGCGGGCGCGCCGAGCTTGCTATGAATACTACTCTCCTCTCGTCCCTGGAGATGGCTGGAGAGTCACCCGTTCCCCTCCGCGCGCGCATCCGTACATTGATATATCCAACGCTTTTGTTCCCAGCCATCCTGTGGTGTTGGGTCCTCGTTTTGAAGAGAGTGCGCCAGCGTCTCCTTCTCCTCCTCCTCCTCCTCCTCCTCCTCCTCCCTCCTCCCCCTCCTCCCCCTCCTTCCTCCCCCTCCTTGCCTTTGCTCTCCGCATGTCTCTGTTTCGGTCCCCCCCCTACACGTTTCGTGACCCAATATGGAGCTCCTCCTAAGGTCCCAGTAGCGCAGTTCGCATGGCGCCGCCGCCCCATTTTGGCACACCCCTCACACGTTTCGTGGCCCCATAGGGAGCTCCACCTAAGGTCCCAGTAGCGCAGCTCGCATGGCGGCGCCGCCCCATTTTGGCACACCCCTCACACGTTTCGTGACCCAATATGGAGCTCCTCCTAAGGTCCCAGTAGCGCAGTTCGCATGGCGCCGTTCTGCCCGATTTGGCACATGCAGCCCTCACACTTTCGTGGTCCCCATAAGGGAGCTCCACCAAGGCCGGCAGTAGCGCGCTCGCATGGCGCCGCCGCCCCTTCTGTCACACCCCCCTCACACGTTCGTGGCCCCATAGGGGCTCCCCCTAAGGTCCCAGAGGCGCAGCTACGCTTGGCGCCGCCGCCCCAGTTTGGCACACACCTCCACGTTTTCGTGGCCCCATAGTGAGTCTCTCACCTAAGGTCCCATAGCTTGCAGCTCCCCTGGCGCCGCCCCCTATTTGCCATTTTTTGCACACCCAGCACACGTTTCGTGGCCCATATGGGATTCCACACCTAAGTCCCAGTGCGCAAGCTCGCCTGGCGCCGCGCCCCATTTTGGCACACCCTTCACACGTTTCGTGGCCCCATAGGGAGCTCCAACCAAGGTCCCGGTGGCGCAGCTCGCATGGCGCCGCCGCCCCATTCTGGCACACCCCTCACACGTTTCGTGGCCCCATAGGGAGCTCCACCTAAGGTTGCAGTGGCGCAGCTCGCATGGCGGCGCCGCCCCATTTTGGCACACCCCTCACACGTTTCGTGGCCCCATAGGGAGCTCCCCCTAAGGGCCCCATGGCGCAGTTCGCATGTCGTCACACCCCTCACACGTTTCGTGGCCCCACAGGGAGCTCCAACGAAGGCCCTGGTGCCACCGCCCGGATGCGTCACCCACGCCCATTCTGGCCCCCCCCCCCCACGCGTGTTGTGGCCCCATGGGGAGCCCCACCGAAGGCGCCAGTGCGTCACCCACACACATTTCGTGACACCCCTCAAACGTTTCGTGGCCCCATAGGGAATTCCATCGTTTCGCGGCCCCATAGAAAGCTCCACCGATGGCCCCAGTGGCTGCATTCGCACGCGCCCACCGCACCTATTTCGGCACACCTCTCACGCGTTTCATGGCCCCATAGGGAATTCCACCGACGGCCCCAGTGGCTGCATTCGCACGCGCCCACCGCACCTATTTCGGCACACCTCGCACGCGTTTCATGGCCCCATAGGGAATTCCACCGACGGCCCCAGTGGCTGCTTTCGCATGCGCCCACCGGGCAAATTTTGGCACACCTCTCACACGTTTCGTGGCCCTGCAGGGAGCTCCTTCGACTGCGGTGCATACAACGACGGTGCTCACCACTGCGTATGGTTGGGTCCTTCGCCAGGCTTAATTCAATCGGAACATGTTTGGTGTCTCAAGGCGGCGCTGCCGCTGCAGCCTGGGCCTCATTCTAGGATCCGCTCGTTGCCTCCTCCTCCTCCTCCTCCTCCTCCTCCTCCTCCTTCTCCTCCTCCTCCTCCTCCTCCTACCCTCCTCCTCCTCCTGCTCCCCTCCTCCTCCTCCTCCTCCTCCCGCCCTCCCTCCTCCTCCTCCTCCTCCTCCCCTCCTTCCTCCTCCTCCTCCTCCTCCTCTCCTCCTCCCCCTGGTCCCTCCCTCCCTCCTCCTCCTCCTCCTCTCCTCCTCCTCCTCCTCCTCCTCCTCCTCCTCCTCCTCCTCCTCCTCCTCGTTGCTCCCCTCGTTCCGAACAGCGCTCTCGCCCCCGCGCGGGCCACTCCTCCGGACCCCGAGCGCTCCCTCGCCGCTGCCGCCCCGCTTCTCCCTGGCCATCCTGCTCCTCCCGCTCCTCCCGCTCGAGCCCCTGCTGCTGCTGTTCGTCCTCGTCCTCATCCGGCCTCCTTTCTCTTTTTTCTCTCCTCCTCCTCCTCCTCCTCCTCCTCCTCCTCCTCCTCCTCCTGCTCCTCCTCTTCCTCCTGCTCGTCCGCCTGCTCGTCCGCCTGCTCGTCCGCCGCCTTCTCCCATGTGCGCAGCCCCTCTTTCTCCGATTTTGCGCGTGACCCGATGGGGTCCCCTTTGGAACTCCAGGTCCGCTTGGC